TATTACTAATTCCACTACTAATCAGCCCATACCACAAGCGTTTTCGGTCTCCAGCAATCCCCTAGCCAATGTTAAACTGCCTCCGTTAGATTTACCGCAGTTTGATGGTGACTCAACCAAATGGCTCCAGTTTCATGACGCCTTTGAAACACTGATACACAACAACTCAAATTTATCCCCGGTTCAAAAGTTTTATTATTTACTCTCCAGCTTAAAGGGAGAAGCATTGYTAAGTGTACAGTCTCTTCAGATTAGCGATGTCAATTATAATATAGCTTTTAACCTAATATGTGAAAGATATAAAAACACGCGCATCATTATCAACAGCCACATTAAAGGCATCTTAGAGATCCCTGTGTTAAAAAAAGAATCTAGAGAGGGCTTGAGGTCCTTAATTGACGAATTGCAAAAAAATGTGCGTTCGTTGGAGGCTCTCAACCAACCGGTAAAAACATGGGACTCTATTATAATTTACATCGCTAGTTCTAAATTAGATTTCCGTACTCGCCGTGAATGGGAGAATTCTTTATCCGGCAATTCAATATTGCCCACTTATGAACAATTAATATCGTTCCTGACTCAACGATGTCAGACCTTGGAAATTATGGACATTAGTCCAAAGGTGGAAAGGGGGATAAACAATAGTTCTAGAACTCCTAAATTTGCGCACGTTTCCCAGCAAGGCAAGCGAACCTGTCATTTTTGCAAGGGAAGTCATTTAATTTATTATTGCCAGCAGTTTTTAGCCTTATCTCATGACAAGAGATTATGTGAAGCCAGAAAGCTTCATCTTTGTACTCGGTGTTTATCTCCAGGCCACAGCAATAAAGAATGTAAAGGGCAAAACTGCAGAATTTGTAACAAGCTCCATAATACTTTATTGCACTTGAACCCGTCAAATAATGCTCAAGCTCCACAGCTACCGGTTCAGGCACCTGTGAATCCCTCAACAGAATCCATGTTAGAAACCACTACATTATTAAATCGGGAATCTGACAGTCAATATATACTATTATCAACTGCCACTGTTATATTATACGATAACAACGGCTCCGCCACATTATGCCGAGCACTTTTGGACTCTGGTAGTCAATCGAATTATATTACGAGTAATTTGGCGCGAAAATTAGGGCTTAAAACAAATAATGTTAGTATCCCTGTTACCGGAATTTCGAAAAACTTAATACATGT